TGCCGGAAGTAATGCCGGCCATGTCACCTGTTGTACGGGACGGAGGGGGAGAAACACGCGATAATAACGTCGATCGCTATCACGCGTGCAATTTTTATCGTAATTTTTTTTTCGCAATAATGCCGCGCTGCGAGAAATTTCATGTGAAAAAATAGCGGAATTCCTCTGCGATGATTACTTTTGCACGTGTATCATCTGTCAAATAATTGTATAAACGTCATCGTTCACGCAAAAAGATTATTATTTCAATTATGAATTCCTAATATTATAAAATTGAAATTTCGACTCTTTAACTCTCGAAAAATTTTAAAATCTATGATTTCTATAAATCGATTGTCACAGTTTAAGCCCACGCGCGGAGAGTTTCGAATCTAAAAATCGTTTCCTCTCGATGTCTGGTGATCCATAAATCCTCTTCGCGGATCCCCGGTACCGTAATAAATTCACGATGGGCAATAAATTTGGATTAACACCGACGTTATCCATGTTCCATATTTAAGTAAGCGAAAGAGTCTTTTATAAAATGAATGAGGCAAAAGAATTTTATACCACGAATGAAAAGATCCGAGATCTGGTTTCATTAATACACTTCCGGTTCGCGACATTCGCCGCTTTCTCGAGATACACTCGGAGAAGGGGGAATGGCATTCCGCAAGTACCTGGGTTTCCTAAGATAATGCGCGAATTCTCGTCAACGAAAAATAGGATTTCCGGCAATTAATGAAATAATTAATCCCAAGGTAATTTCAAAATTCGAATTAATTTATTATATGCTTGTCTAGTAAATAATATTTTAGTCAAAAATATTCTTTTTAGTTAAAAATTAATCACTATTTTTTTTATCCAAAAGAATTAAAAAAATAAATGTAAATTATATAGTCATAGTGATGTTAATTTCTTTCTCATATTTATATTCTACAAGTGAATTTTATGAATCAAAATAGTCATTTTCCAATTTACAACTAATGTAAATTTCCCATCAGTCAGGCAATTATAAAAAATCGCAATTTATTAAGAAAAGAATGCGCAACTGTAAGATAACTTTGTAGATTCGCAATCAAGGTAACAGAACTGCAAATTACCCGTGAGAACGCGAGGAGTAAATTACATACATATAAAGATGTGTACAGGATATGTAAGGCACGCGGTTTCTCCCGAGAGGTAAACGATCTCGCGATACCGTAGCCGACATCTTTAACTTAAATCTATTTCATACAACATTCCGCAATATTCCTCCACTGATAAATCATGCATATCGAACAGCGAACAATAAATATCAATCGTTGGAAAGCCGGAAGACAGAGCGAACCGCACAAAGAAATTCGGACAGAAATATTGAGCGAGCGGGTAGATAGGTAGATGCATTCGACGTCCTATATTTAATCGCGCGCGATCCACCTGGCTTTAGTGAGTTTAGCGGACGACGACGACGACTTTGCCGGGTCTACAAGACGACGAGCTTCGCCGTCGAAATATTTCTGGCGCGTAGAACTCTCGCGAAGGAACGCATCTCGACTTGCGCGCGCGCGAAGTTGCTCCAATTCCCACCAAGATTATCCCGAGATCGCTTCGAGTGCGATATATCTGATCCTTATCGAAATTATCGGGGTGTTTCGAAAAATAGCGAGTTATTCCGAAAAAAGTGTTCACTAAAATAAATCTTTCAGATTGTATATATATATTTATCTCGCGCTAAATTTTGCAATTTTATGTTTATTTTATAAATTTATTTATACAAAAAAAAAAAAAAAAAAAAAAAAAAAAATGTAATTATAATTTCAACATCAACAAAAAATTCAGAATAAGATGCCGAGAAAATAAATGAGAAAAGACAGGTATAACAAAACAGAAAAAAAATACATAAAAAAAATAAAATAAAATAAGAAAAATCTAAAGAAGGCAAAGAAATAATGATCGTTTTATGTTGAATCATTATTAACAGCAATACTGATAATTACATGCATTTCCTTTATAAAATATTTGAAGAGGAAAGTAGCTTAAAAAGCGTTGATAATTAAATGTCTGAAAACTCTCCGTTAATTAATTCCGAAGGATTACAAATTTCGACAGTTGTTTTCGAAGCACGAGTACTTCGAATTAGTGTCGCAGTTTGACGCAGTACGTTTTTCTATTCCGTCATCCTTCTGGTTAAATATGTTAGATCGATACTCGATCCTGAAAGTAAATGCACTTTTACCATTCCGCCTCGACACGGGAAGAATGCGGCTGGCGTCACGCGTGGGTAATCGACGCTTTTGCAAGCTTTTATGAATGCCCGCAGCCTGGCAACGAGGCTGAGATTCCGAGTAAATCGTCATTGCCACACTCACGCGATAGCGCCGCGATTCATTAATATCAAACGACCACGACGTAAATTAACTATCACTCCACGAAAATATTGATAGAAATATAAAATATTCAAATAAATGTTAAAGGTAATATTTTTCGAATATAAAATAAATTAAAGAATATTTAATATATATTGATCAAATGTTTGCTTTTAGATAAAAGCAATTTTTAAGTGATATATCATTAAAGTCAATTAAATTATATTTTTGTAATCTTTTTATTCTTTATTTGTTGAAATTATTTTTAATATATCGTATAAAAAATATAAAAAAATACTCGTTAATTGTGTTAGATCAATTCTAGTAATTAGTCAAAATCTCTCGTTAAAATTAAGAAATTTCTAGGACATTCTAAATTTGTCTCAAAAGATTATATTGACAGATAGTGCAGCGTCTAATCAGAAATGTGGTTAAGATAACTGGAAAAGTATCATTATTTGAAGTAAAACTTACGTGTCGTTTACACGACACCTACCTTATAAGCGTGTATGCGTTCACATTAATAAAAATATATTATAAAAAATGGGAATATAAAAAGCAATATTATTCAATAATAAATGGCATTTATGTACGAATAATAAAATTATCTATAATACTATAAAAACGTTGCGATTAATTCTGGAAGATTTGCTCAAAATTTATCGGTTCTGCCGTTTAACTATATAAATAAACGAATTGTCAATCAGTCGCCACAGTTCAAGTTCATGGTTGATAAGCCGCGATTTTTGACGAACGGAAAATGACCGGAGAATATTGCGACTTTGGTGCAAACTTCAGCTTTACGTAAATAAGCGCAGAGCTTATCAGCCAAGTGAAACATGACGCGATATAGATGTAGATAAACGGTAACTGATAAAATTAATATCTATACCCGCTCACCCGAGATATTACGCGACAGCCGCTTATTGTACATATTTATTATTTAAGGACGTTGAAGAAATGAAATCAATTTTTTATAACTTCCTTTCCTCGCAAAATATCGTCTCGCGCCCACAATCGATATCGATTGTCGTTGACATCAAAGGAAGAGATTATTAAAATTGCAGAGATATTGAAAGATTAAAATTCCTCGATTCTCTTTCTAAAAATTCACCGTCGATATCGATCGTCGTTACTTGTCGCAATAAATATAGTCACGTGAAATAGAGACACGAGAGAAAAATAACATTGAACCGCTACTATAAATACAGCCTGAGAATACGAACACAGACTTCACATTTAACGAGATTTCAAGGCTACCGATCGATCGACGCGTAGGATCTACGCGTTACTCTTGATAAGAATACAAAGGTGAGCAATTAATAATTGCTCATCTTTGTAATTATGCTAATAGATCGATCGAGGCGTCAAAAAAGAATAAGAGACGGACGATCTCGTATAAAATTAAAATAATAGATCGGAATGTATTCGAAGCTATTGCACGTTGTTTACGAGATGCTTTTTTGTCATCGAATAAGAATTGAACTGAAATTTATTATTAAAAAATTATAAAATTCGTGTATAAATTAAAATAGATTTATTTCAGGAATTGAATAATGAAAAGATAAAAGATTTTTTTCTTTCTCGATTTCTGAATAAATTAAAATAGATTTATTTCAGGAATTGAATAACATGAAAAGATAAGAGATTTCTTTCTTCTTCGATTTTTGTGAATAAATTTAAATATGATTTTATTCTACTTGTCAAAATACACTCGATGACAGACAAGAAAATAACTCCTCAAATTCCTGTCATAAATTTAACAAAAACATCTTTTGTAACATCTCTACGATGATAATAGGATACCCCATGGAAAGACATTCTCAAGTGTCGCAGAAAGACGTATTTAACCACGCGAGGTAAAAAATTTGTCGTGGGAGGCGGTCTCTGTGACGACGAAGGTCACTCGAGATACTCGAGTCGCGAACAGACGGAGGATAATTATTCATCGCGTCGTGTCGTGCCAATTTGAGGTTATGGCCGCGCACGAGCCAGCCAACGAACGAACGGCCGCCTTTGAAGGAAGGAGCCAGCCGTGATAAGCGCCACGGCGCTACTTTCACGGAGCGAGAGCGAAATTCCTCGGCGGCGACGCCTCGTCGCCGATTATCGCAAAGACGATCGATCGAGATCGGGAAAAGCCATCCGCTCGAACGAGATATCGAGGGAGATCGATCGAACAGAGGAAACGCGAGCCCCGATTATTACGCGTCAATGCGGAGATATGGGATACGCGGAACGAGACCCCGAGTCGTTCTGCGACGCAGTACACGATGCCACAGAGATCGATAGCCGGCACTCGCTCGTTCCTCGCTCGGCGCATTCCCACGAGAGCGGTGATAAGGGACCGAGCGAGAACGATCGAGAAACGGCAGCGACCGCCGGCGGCGAGTCGGTTACACAGGAAGTGCGTGGAAATGGCCCCGACCGACCTGCGCGTTATAGCATGCGGTCGAGAGGGAGCGAGCAAGACGCAAAAGCGAACGAGAAACGTAGACGCGCACACATACACAGGCACAGAAAGAGAAAGAGAGAGAGAGAGGGATGTGGAGGGGAAAGGGAAATGTGCGACGTAGAACCGAAATGTTCGCACTTACCTACGGTTTATTATAGTCCTTTGTACAATAAATAGTTAAGTAAAGTACACGATCCGCGTGGATCCGTGCACCGGCTCCAACGAGGCGAGCGCGCGGAGAGGGACGGGCCGAGATTAGAACTTTGCGTGCCGCGACGATGACAGCTGGCGGCCGGGCTGCAATATCCGCGACGAAGGGCGAGACACGGACGATCGGAACGCGAGCGAAAAACTAAAACGCCAGTTCCCTTTATTCCTCGTTCACACTCGATGTTACGATACCACACATCACTCGGCGACCACTCCTGCACGACTGAGCGCCGGTAACGCCGCCCGCGGTGGGGAACTCGGTTCGCCTCGTGCCGGGGCTCGGCCGCGATCGGCCGCGCTCGGCAATCTCCGCCGCGCCTCGTGCCCGAGCCGAAGTATTGATCGGCTCGCGGCGGCCCCGCCATGGCGGACGGAGGTTGGGTGGGTGGGGCAGCGGCATGGCCGTGTCCCCGGGACCGACGTGCCGCGGCGCACCACGCGACGACGACGACGACAACGTCGTCGTGACGACTCTCGCATCTTTTTCCTTCCCTCTCCCTCTCGCTCTTTCGATCGTTCGACTCGCTGTCTCGCTTACTTCGATCACTTCGGAACTGCTTGTCTCTCTCGCGCACTTCCTTCGTTGTCGCAACTTATTCATCTTGTCTATCTCGCGCCTTGTCTCCCTTTCTCTCTCTCTCTCGCTCTTTCGATCGTTCGACTCGCTGTCTCGCTTACTTCGATCACTTCGGAACTGCTTGTCTCTCTCGCGCACTTCCTTCGTTGTCGCAACTATCTCGCGCCTTGTCTCCCTTTCTCTCTCTCTCTCGCTCTTTCGATCGTTCGACTCGCTGTCTCGCTTACTTCGATCACTTCGGAACTGCTTGTCTCTCTCGCGCACTTCCTTCGTTGTCGCAACTATCTCGCGCCTTGTCTCCCTTTCTCTCTCTCTCTCTCTCTCTCTCTCGCATGCGCGCGCGTTAAATGTCTATAATGTCTGTCATGGGTGTCTCTCCGTCAATCGTACGGGCTGCCTATATTCTCCGTCTACCTCCCTGTCCTACTACTTCGACTCCTCACGAGTACCGCGTAATTTCATGCGAAAATTAACCTGCGAGGAGGAGCACTCGCTCTTTTTGTTCGTCGTCTCTCTGGGCGCTGTTCTTGTTCCCGATGACTTTCCGCGCAAAACCGCGGCTAATAGCTTCGACGACGTCACGATTGTCTTGGGAAATTGTCAATATTCTAAGATTAAATTTTATAGCGGCGATCTTTTTTTATTAATCTTTCGGAAAATATATAATTGAAAATATATGGTAAGAGAAATGATCTCACGTAATTCGCCATTTAAATTATCTATGACATACGCAAATCCATGAGGCTTACGAGAATATGCGTGGTCGTAAGTTATGCAGGGTGCTCGAGATATAGCGCGGACGAAGAAGACATTTTTCTATTTGAGGAGCGAAGGAATGCTCGGTCGGCGTCTAAAATAAATGCTAGTTGGGTGGGTCTGAGAGATCACCAGATTAACATAAAGGCCCTTTCGTTCCTCTCGCGAACGTTGAACCGTACCTTTTTTTTCACGATAATTCAAAAGGATCCCAAAAACGGGATTTTTCACCGACGTCAACGACTCGCGTCTGGAATAAAATTCGTAAAAAAAAGCAGGATATTAAGAATTGTCCCGTTTTTACTGCACTTTCGTGACGTGACGTGGAATGTCTGAGAAGATAATAATGTACGTCTCTGATTTAATTGACGTTCGAAAATTAAGCACGTGTGAATGAAAATATTTAATCTGCAGACACTATGATTCATGACGTCCAGTCATGGATATATGAACGTTATGATTCACAATGTTAAGTCAAGGATACGTAAATCGAAATATCTGTAAGTCCAAGGATATGAGATAAGTCTGTGAATTTAAGAAATTTAAGGTTCTACAAGAATCATCAATATCAGCTCGTGTGAAACCCGATATCCGTTCATTTAACCTCGTGCTTTTATGTTAAATATATAGCTGTCGCCTTTCAAGTTTGACCTGTCGCTAATTATGAATATAATGTTTGTCATTAACATCAGCTGAGAAAATCCATTTGGTAAACTTGAAATACAAATTCGAGCTTAAGTATGCGTTGAAAGTGTGAATCTACCAGGGCGTCTACTCAAATCCTGTAAAACATTTCCCTGAAAATTCCCTGATCTTCCAGGTATTTTTTTGTTCAAAATTCCGGGTAAAAAAGAATATTTACAAACATCTTTTGGTGCAATTTTCTAAAATAACTTTTTTTATTATACGCATTTTCAAAAAGACAAATCCACTTAAGTTTCAAGTGCTAGATTTACAAATGTATTGGAAAAAAAATAAAAAAAACTGAATAGCTTTCGCTAAAATAAAATTTTTTAACTTGCATAACATTTTTATTTTTAATCACTAAAAATGAAAATAAAGAATATATATTGCATATTTAATATTTTATTAAGACATTAAATATATGTACAAACAGAGATAGATATATATTTATGATGTATTATAATATAATACATTA